CATCTTGCCTCTATTCCCAAGGATTACAGATAGCTCTTCTTTATCAGACCGGCTCCAAGATGTTCCCATATCCTGTGTATCTTTAAAGACACGAAGGCTGTCCTGATTAGATGACCTCCGTACACACAGTGACATCCACAATGTGAAGGAAGGCCTTCTACTCTCTCTAATCTGGCTAACAAAGTAACAATGCACATGATGTATAAAGAATAAACCTAACAAACTATTAATATATAGACTTTGGCTGTAAACTATATGTAGGACACATTTCTAAATTAGATTTTGTGCTTGTAAGGAGGATAATCACTGATGCAGCTTAAAGGGAAACCATCCATCCATATTTCTCTGGATGGATAGAATTAAATTGTACTTCTAGGGATGCATGATGAATCAATTTTGGCATCAGAATCAGCTGTTATTTGATATTTTCTTATATATTAATATTTTTGGGCCATATATACATAATGCACTATAAGGCATCTGTCTAACTACCTATAAACACATCAGAGTACTGTGGATGTTCTCAACAACAGGAAAGTATTCAATAAATAGATGTTTGAGCTCATTTTTGGAAAATATAAAAACCTAATGAAAGCGTTCAGGTGGAGGAACTGTAGGTACATCAGCCCCCATCCTCAGAGCGCCCCCACCCATCCTCAGAGCGCCCCCACCCATCCTCAGAGCGCCCCCACCAAGTTTCATTATAAAGTTATGCCCAGTTTTGCAGGTGTTTAGTTCTTCTTCCTGCTCTGCCCCAAACAGAGAAGAAGAGTTTTTCCTTTCTGTGTGTCCAGGTGGTACCGCGCTCCAGAGCTGCTGTACGGAGCTCGGAAATATGACGAGGGCGTCGACCTGTGGTAAGAGCTTCTCCTGCTGCCTGCTTCTGAGTGTTTACCATGAACCGGGTCATCTCTATCGCAGAGGGATGAAAAATAACTGCTGATCAGAGGTGAACACCAGGGGGCAGCAGCAGTCTGACCTGATCTCTGCTTTCAGGGCTGTGGGCTGCATCTTTGGAGAGCTGCTGAACTCATCTCCTCTGTTCCCTGGAGAAAACGACATTGAACAGCTCTGCTGCGTCCTCAGAGTGCTGGGAACGCCGACGCGGGACAGCTGGCCTGTAAGGAACACCCGAGTCCACAGCGCACCGCCAAACAGAACCAGAACCGAGCCAGAGGACAGGGCCCACATGGTGTAGCCTGGTAGGACAGACAGGAGTTCAGCAGGAGCATCAAACATTTTCTACATAGTTTAGTTCTGCCCGTTAAATTACTCTGGAGGGAAGATGGTTCTGGTGTTCTAGCGGGATTCTGGAGTAGATGTTTACGTTCCAGGGAGCTTTAACCTGGAAGATATTTGGGTTTAAGTTCAGGAAATTTTTATTTAGCTCTGAGGGAAGCGAGTTAGAGACTTCTGTGGGTTCTAGAGGAGCTTTTAGAGAACCAGTGGAGAACCTTTCTGGTTTGGTTGTGGAAGTCCAGAGGGAGGGAGGAGTTCTACTGGAATAATAATTCACTTCTATTCAGTTTATTTCTATAGCTCCAATTCACATCATGTCATCTCAGGTCACTTT